CACACACACACACACACACACACACACACACACACACACACACACACACCACAGGGCTAGCTTGGGTACAGGAGCCCTGAACTAGTGAGCCTCCTGGCCGTTACATTGAAAGTCCTTCATTGTGTGCTGACAGGCTATCTTTTCTTGCCTGAGGTTTTGCTTAAATGAGATAGACCGTTGTTTCAGTCCTGAAAATATTTTGTTATGTTCATACTTTTCACGTTTATAGCATCAGTCTTGTGTATATTATTGCAGCCTGTATTTAGCAGTCATGACGCATCTGTGTATTGAATATGTCACAAAGATGATTTTACTGGAGGACACCACTTGCAGTAAGAAAAGTCAAGCTGTGTTTTCTACATTTTGGATAGAGCTGTTCTTTGCAAATGGAGACACAGTCCACTTGCGTGGGAACCGCACTTTCATTACGCGGGCTTATCTTGAACAGGCCACATGTGTGTCTTTTCATATTTGGCCTTTAAAAAACAGTTTATAGCTGGGCAGTGGTAGCACACGCCTTTAATCCCAGCACTCGGGAGGCAGAGGCAGGTGGATCTCTGTGAGTTCGAGACCAACCTGGTCTACAAGAGCTAGTGCCAGGACAGGCTCCAAAGCTACAGGGAAACCATGTTTCAAAGTGGGGGGAGGGGGAGGAATAAAACAGTTTATAGAGGAAAGGAATTTGGACACTTTGTTAAAAAAAAGGAGCCACGAACCTCTTTATGGCTCAGCCAAGCATTTAATGTGCACACAAAGCAGTCAGACAGTTACAAAGTTCATCAGGACGAAGGGGGAAGAGACAAAACAAACCAGAATGGAACTTCATGACAGGAGAGTTGAGCATTCGGATCAACTGTGACGAGTGAATACTGATAAAATAAAGCCCCCCTTTCCCTCCGAGAGAGCCATCCATCTCTCTTGCTCTTTCTCACTCTGAGAAAGCGGGGAAAGAATACGAATCACTGTCATCTGCTTAAAAATATTTTTGCCATTTAAGGGACATGCTGTTCGTCACTGGAGTATAATTTAAAGCGCCAACACACTTATGAAGCGGCAAACCAACAAAAGAACCAGTATTTGCAGGGGAATGTGTCCCAACCCAAAGGCCTGACCACAGCTGGCTGTTTGGAAGACCAAGTGGTTGGAAATTTTGTTTTGTTAGACTGCTTGAAAGTATTCCTGGAATTCACTTTACTTAAGGAAACTGTTGAACTGTTGTTTTTGACCTTTTTTGTTTCCTGTCACAAACTTCAAGGGATGGAGAGTCAAGCTTCTGATATATACACACGTACATCTCAGGCGGCTTGGGATTGGTGGCGGTGGGAGGAACAAACACGGTTCCATACCCGTGACTGGATGAGCAGCTGTTCTCACGGCTCTGGCATGCTTTTAGATTCCTGGTAAACTACATGTCATGGTTAATCCTGATGTTTCTGCTCTGAATCCCGATGAGCTTCTTTTTTGAAAATGGAATGTGATTAATGCGTGGGACAGCTAGGGGAACTCAGGGGATTGCTTACGATTCTCGGAGTGGAGCAGAACCAGGCTTGAAAGCGAGTATTAAAGCTCAGATCTGCTCCCAAAGGCTGATGGTTCCCCCGTCGCTTCCGCTGCCCAGTTGTACCTAAAAACCAGCACAGGTGCAGCTATCCCTTTAATTACACTACTTCAGCCTAATGGGCACACACAGAGACTTGAAGAAAACTCAACAGCTGTGAGAGAAATGTCCTTCTCATCTCTTTGCGTGATGAACTGCCGCACCCCAGCCTCTCTACCCAGAACTTTAATCTTGATGGAGAAGCAACCACATCCCTGAGCCATTACACCATCACGTCTACCTTTGAGTTATGCATGAATGGTTTGCCAAAGACTCAGCAGAGGAGAGTTTGGAACAAAGGGGGGGGGGGTTCCAGATGCCTTGGACACCAAGACGGGGGACTACCTTGAGCCATCCTGCGTAGAAGAAGAACTGCAGAAGGGTGAAGATCGGAATGTACAGATCCAAGTCATGCCCCGCGTAGCCTTTGGTGGGATCCAGGAACTGCCGTCCAATGAGGCACGCGAAGAAGAACGTGTAGACCGCGAGGGTGACAACCTGGGACAGAGGGAGACGCGAGGGAGGGGTCAGTGCTGGCTGCCCACAGAAACTATGCGACGTGGGCAGGTGGGGGTGAAAAAGCCACATGCATGGGATGTGGGGCAATTAACTCGGTCAGCAAAGTACTTGTAGCACACGCATGGGGACCTGAGTCCAATTAGAAGCACCCGTATAAAACGACAGGAGTGGTGGCTTGTTCCTGTAACCCCAATTCTGGGGAAGGGGTGAAGATAAGTGGATCCTGGGGCCTCCCTGACCGGCAAGTTTAAATGAAAGGTGGCAAGTTATAGGTCTCAGTTAGCAATCTTATCTCTAAATAAATAAGTAAACAAAGCGGATGGCCCCAGAGAATGACATCCAAGATTGACCTCAGATTCCCGCCCTCTTGTCCCCGCCGCCATCACAATCACATGCACAGTATTTGGTACCTGTGTGTAAACCAGCGGAATGCCAACCCAGTCATAGCCAAATAAGAGGCTGCACCAGGAGCGGTACCGATTCATCTCCTAAGCCCAAAACATGAAAACGCACTTTACTCAAACGATGACCAGTTATAAACGTGAGCTGGGACTCAGAACCCGGGCGCACTATTGATGAACATGGCAGTAAACGCTAAGGCCAACTTTATAAGTTGTCCCCAAAGGAAAGTCCTGAGAATGAAAAAGCAAAGGAAGCCAAGCATTTTAATCCCAGCACTGGGGAGGCAGACGTAGGCAGATCTCTGTGAGTTAGAGGCCAGCCTGCTCTACAGAGTGAGTTCCAAGACAGGCTCCAAAGCTACACAGAGAAACCTTGTCTCAAAAAAACAAGAAAAAGAAAAAGAAAAAGAAAAGGAAAAAGAAAAAGGATACCATGGAGCAGTTTGTAAAAAGGTAAGAAAAATGATGAGGACATTTGGACATAATTTTATAAATATAAAAATACAAATATTTTTTATAAATATTTTTACAAATCTTCTTAAGAAAAGGTAGAACATTATAAGAATAAACTTGTTTTTCTAATCCGCACTCTTCAACGTATAGACTGGGGCCCCAAGCGTTCAAAGGGAGCTAAGTGGTTAATATTCTAAATAAGTAATTACTGGTTGTTTTGGTATAAATTTGGCAAGCATTTTTTTTCATCTCCTTAAAAACATTCGTATGACAGATATTAGAAAAGACATATGAATACATGCTAAACCTTCCGCCCAGCAAACTGGGACTTTAAAATGCTCCTATGGACAGAAAATCTATCTGTAACAGGGAGGATGGAGAGTCATCGATCTCTTGCCTTATCCAAATGAGACTGAAATCTAATATTACCTCAATTTGAAAACCATTTACTCATTTTAGCCTCATCCAAGCCAGAGACCATCCGAGCTGTCACAGCAGATTTTCTGTGTATACATTTCTCTGATGAATCCCGAGACCTTTTCCTTTAATTGTTTTTATTGAGCTATACATTTTCCCCCCTGCTCTCCTCCCTTCCTCTCCCCTTCTACCCTCTCCTGTGACCCCCACGCTCCCAATTTACTCAGGCGATCTTGTCTTTTATCCAGCAAGACATTGTTTCGTTCCCTGGAGCATCAGAAAGGCTGATTTAAGGTTAGATTATTCAAATCTGGGGGGAAAGGTTGAAGTTTATTCTTCCTTAAGATTTTATTCGGGGTGCTGGGGGTTCATCCCATCACCAAGAAAGAAAACTAAGAATTTTAATCTAGAATCCTTACACAAGCGGTCGCAAAGACCTGTGGGCAATGCCCCTCTTCAGAGTCTTTGGCAATCCTGGCTTTACCATTTCCCTACAAGCCTCTCACAGAATATGCTGAGCACACCTTGCTCACTCTCTGTTCTGCACACTGTGGGTTTCCCACCGGCTTCCTAGCTCTGCAGAATCTGGAGTGACGAGAGCAGACCACTGGTCTGACCTCTTACATCCAGGGTCCTAGAGTTCCAATTAGCATCTTCTCGTGGCTTACTAAATACTTACGGTCATCAATGATTGAAGGTCGACGCTGTCCCTGATTCTACCTTCATTCCGGGCTTTGGTGGCAAGATTTCCAAACCAAATGAAGGGGACCCAGTATTTCAGATGTGGTGATTTGAGGTGGTCGAACAATTTCCTTTCGTCTGCTGTCATAAAACCTTTACACAAAATAACAATAGGGATGTTATACACACTTAGTTAAGTCCAATGCATTACCATAATTTTAGCATTCTATGTAAGCATACTGGGGTAACGGAAGGTGCTAAAGAAATATTCTTGTCTCCAGTGGTTTATATTTGTGCTAGAGATGAAGAGTTTTGCACATGAGTTGTGTGCATGTACATACACAAACTGCACACACATTATATTTCCACATGTGAAGCAACCCATCATCTTGGCAATCTGACGGTAAAGGTAAGAAAGCAGACATGTGAGTCTGGGACACAGATTCTTAAAATGTGAGGCACAGCCCCCTTTAGGGTCACATAGCTGAATGTGGGTTGTGAACTATTGGTAACAGATTTTTGAACATACAATGACCAAAAATTGATTCAAGATCAAACATATAATGAATCCGAGGTGTTGCTTGCCACATACACCCGTGCCATATTAAGTGACCCACTGTGCCTTGGTTCTGAGCACACAACATGTGCACTTTGCACTGAGCATAACTTGTTGCCACACAACACCAACAGACATGGCCTCGAGTATCTCGGCGCAGACTCAAGACTATTTTGTGCTAGAAGTGGCAATGCCTTCACGAGCCACGTAGAGCGTTCTGCTTTTATGGAAACATAATGGTTTAATTACAGAAAGCAAAAACAATATTTTCCCCTTTGAATGAATTGTATTACATTTGAGTGTTTGATTTTAAAATTGCCATTTGAATTGTTGATTTGTTTCAGTTTTTAAAAATGTTAATTAAATTTGCCTCTGGATTAGTACAGAATTTCCAATCATGCATCCCCTTCTGCATGATTCCCATGGCTGTGCCTCCCGCCTTCTCCGAGATGGCCCTAGACATGCTTCTGCTGTTTTATGCTGTATATTTATTAGAAGTGGCATTCTAATTGATGATTACAAAATCAGAATATCAATAACTCTGAAAAAGCCAATGATGTCACACACTACCAAATATTTGGCCAATAATTAATTATGCATATAAAATAAATAGGCACATTGTCTCATTTATATGCAATTTTACTTCTTTTTAAGAAAACAATTTTACTTTATTTATATGCGTGTTATCTGTGGGTATACATATGTGTAGATGCAAGTTTGCATGGTGGCCAGGTCCCCTGGAACTGTAGTTACAAGTGCTTGTGAGACACCCTTTGTGGGTGCTGGAACCTCAACTCTGGTTCTCTTATACACAGCAGCAAAGTGCTCTTAACTACTGAACCATCTTTCCGACTTCTACCATCAATTTTTCTTTTTATGAGACAGGGAAACATGTAGCCCAAGTTGACCTCAAACTCACTATGGAGCCTCTGCCTCTATGTTCCACATACTGGGATTACAGGCATGTGTCACTGTGGCTGTGTTTGTTTGTTTGTTTTTATGTGGTGCTGAGGGTTGTAATATGAGGGGCCGGCTTGTTGGGGTACCTGTCCCGCCTGGTACCTCACAACCGGCAAGTCCCAGAGAAAATCAATCACACAGAGATCTCTATAAGCTACAAAGCTGATTGGCCCATTAGGTCAGGCTACTTATTAGCTCTTATAACTTATGCTACCCCATTATCCTTATCTACGTTAGCCTCATGGCTCAGTACCTTTTCCAGCGGGGCAGCTTACATCTTTCCTCTCCGGTGGTCTGGGCAGAACTGCTGAGGGAGCTTCCTGCTTCCCAGAATACTCCCAGTCTCTTTGTTCCACCTCTACTTCCTGTCTGGCTTTCCCGCCTATACTGCCTGTCTGGCCAATCAGCGTTTTATTAAAATATGATTGACAGAATACAGACAATTCTCCCACACCAGAGGGTCAAGTCCAGGGCTTTGGGGCGTTAGGCAGGTGGTCCAGCTGAACTATAGCTGCTGTTTATTTTCACCTTTCACCTTTAGAATTAATTCGTTCACTTGTAATAACAAGTCAAATTTATGTACATCAGAAAACTGCATTAAAATAAATTTCTATTATAAAAGTTTCAAAATTAGATTTATTCATGTATGTATGTATGTGGTGCCACAGCGTGTGTGGGGCTTAGAGAGCCGCTTTCAGGGCTTAGCTTTCCCCTTCCACGGCTCCTGTGGATAAAACTCAGGCTACCAGGCTTGGTGGCAGAGGCATTTGTTTACCTGTTGGGGCATCATGCTATCCCAAGTAAATTTCTTTACAATTTATTTTCAGTTACTGTTTGCTCTTATACATATTTTATAGCACCATATGCCTAAGTGGTCATAAAATGTCTCCTGTAAAAGGGGGTTGTTGAATGGAGAGCGCTTAAGAGCCCTGATCTAGGATATCTAAGGAAGTTTCTCCTTTACATTTTGATTTATTAATCTAAAATCGGCAGCAATAATACTTAGAATTGCGAGGGTTAAGAGACTAAAATTCGAGAGCGCATACGGAGCTCAGCAAGAGTTGTGCCTGATTCCCATGGCCGTGCCTCCCGCCTTCTCCACCAGACCTCCCTGAGCCTCGGTGTTTTCCACTGTAATAATATCTGCTTTATGATGATGATACTGGGGTTAGAGCTCAGTGGTAGAGCGCTTGCCTACCATGTTGGAAGCCAGCATCAGAAAGGCACGCGGGGGGGGGGGTTACCTGACATGGTAAACATACATGAAGAGTTTAGCACACTTACTGCTAGGGAATAGTGTATCTTTGACACTGTATCTGGGTCCCTCCTTCACTCCCTCTCTCCCCGCACAAGGGAAGAAGAGGAACAAGGTGGCGGGTTTATTTAATAAATAAATAAAAAAAACATTGAAGGAGGATCTATTCTTATTGTTTTTAATTATGTGTGTGCGGGTGCCCCCCAAAACCAGAGGCGTCAGACTGGGTGTGGAGAACTGAACTGGGGTCCTCTGTAAGAGCAGTGTGTGTCCTTAACTGCTGAGCTGTCTCTCTGGCTTCACTTTTTTTTTTTCCAGACAGGGTTGCTCAGCGTAGCCTTGGCTGTTCTGGAACTCACTCTGTAGACCAGGCTGGCCTCGAATTTACAGAGATCCTCCTGCCTCTGCCTCCCGCGTGCTGGGATTAAAGGCGTGCGCCACCATTGCCTGGTCAGCTTCATTTTCTTAAAGCCTACTTATAGAGAAATGTACCTTAACAGCTTGCAGTTTATGCTTGATTTTTACCTTTCTTTTAAAACTAAAGGTTAATTAATTCAAGTGATATAAATATCCTAGAAGACCAAATGAATACTAGTGGGGAAAATAAGCCTTCCTTCTTCCCTAACCATGTTGTTTCTTTCCCTAGAAAAAATCGCTATGGCCGGTCTACTGTATAACTTGAGAGAGAAATCCCATGGATGTGTGTACACACCTGTTTGTTAAACACAAATTAATGTAATTTACATACATACTTATGATTTACTTCTATTGTTGTTTGTATATTAGAGATTAAAATTAATATATAGAGGGCAAAATCACTATGTCAATGACTGCTCCCGACTAATATTAAAAGTTGTTTGCAATGTTTTATTTAATTCCATTTTGAATAGGCATTTAAGCTGTTTCTAATTTTTGACCACCATGGCCTCTTTATTGTGGTCCTAGGGATTGCACCTAGGGCAAGTGTTCTACCTCTTGAGCTAAATGCCCAGCCCTGGTTCTAATGTTGTTACTGAAAATCATGTTGACATGACTTGGCTTGTACACCTTTAGCTCTTTCTAGTGGCTCATAAATGTTTTAATTTTTTGTGTGAGTCATATTTTCTGAATGAAAGATTATTCACAAAACTAATTTTATTAGATATTCATTTTGGCTTACTTTTGCCTCCAAAATGTAATCATTTGCTAATGGAATTCTGATGAGCTACTAATGAAGTTCCAATTAGAACCAACTTTGCCTTAATACAAATGCATTTACATCTTGGTCTGTAGTCTGATTACATGTTTGGTTTTTCTGTTTCAAGTCAGTATCCCTCCTTAGCATGTATGACTTAAGAGGTGATGCTATAGAGCAGATGTGTCATAGAAGAAGCCGTCACACTATTTTGACAGTCATTGATTCCTTGAGTGGCAGGGTTCCCTAGGTCTCCTAGATCTGGTGCGATTTAGGCCAGTGTTCTCAGGAAGGAAGTCTCATACAGAAGACTTTGCTCTCAAATTCACTGTTAATCTCTAGTAAACTTGGGGAGGGCCAGCCCCACTTGTGGGCAGTTCTTGAGTAAGGTCTGCTGTTAAGGTACCATGGATACTTTTAGAAATGCCACCGCCTTCTCCCCCAGAGAGTCTGTTTCAACTGGCTTAGGTGGGGTCAGGTAGGGCTGCTCTAAGTTTTCTTGGATGATCTACTGAGCCAGGAACCAGGCAGTGGCATGCTTACAAAGACGTGCAGGGAATTCTAACATGAAGATCACTGTCCAGCTGATACAGTCTATGAAATAGACGTAGTGATAGCTACAGAACCGATAATTACCTTCAGGCCACTAGACTCAAATTATATCCAGTTTACTTATACTAGCTAAGGTTCTGCCCATGCCTAGATGCTTCTTTTGGAAATTAAAAAAGAAACTAGGCCAATAATTTTGTTCTTGTGTCTCAATACAACTCAAAGTTGTTACACGTGATGGGTATTCCTGGTTGCCAGCTTGACTCTATCTAGAATGAGTCCAGTCCAGAAATGGAGGGCACACCGGTGAGAGATGTTCCACTTGGTTTGAAGTGGTGAATCTACTTCTAGTTCAAACCTTTGAGGTGGGAAGAAACACACCTTTGATCCAGACCTTGAAGCAATGGGGGGGCATACTTTTAATACGGGCTCCACCTTCTGCTGGAAGTCTGTATAAGAAGGTAGAAGAAGGAAGCTTCTGCACTTTGTCTGCTTGCCCTCACCCTGCTAGCACATCCATCCCTTTACTGGCACTGGAGCCTACTTCTTCAGGATGCCAGCATATGGAAGACCAACTGAGACACCCAGCCTCGTGGGATGGAGCACCTAATAGATTCTTGGACTTCACATTCATGGCTAGCCATTGTTGGATTAGTTGGAATATAGACCGTAAGTCATTACAATAAATTCCCTTTGTATATATATTCATTCCATAAGTTCTGTGACCCTGACTAATTCACCGTATGATGCGGATAATCTGCCTTTTCTTTTACAATGGGCTTATAGAACATGACTAAATGCTATTATAGGAAGTTAGCCTCGGGTTATGACTTTCTTTGTTCTGAAACCTGTGAAATTTTCCCTTCTTTGTGGAACATGTGTTTTGGGACAACCTGGATCTGTGTTCTAAGGCCCTCGCCACTCATATTCGGCTCAAGAACAAACTGTCTCTTGTGCTTTATAAAACAGTTAACAGATGAACTTGGCTCTTCTTCACTTCGGGCCTAAAGGCTTGCCACAGCTGTCCCGCCTTTAACTGGAAACCTATCTTAGCTACTCCATATCGATTGTCTGACACTTAGATTCTTGGGATTTAGAGTGCAATTCTAGATTCAAAAGAAAGAAAGAAAGAAAGAAAGAAAGAAAGAAAGAAAGAAAGAAAAGAGAAAGGAAGGAAGGAAGGTAGATAGATTTAGGCATTATTAGAAAAAAACTTTGTATGTTTTGAGCTTTGTATTGTGTCTTTCTTAGGTAGAACAATTACAAAACATAGTGCGCAGTTCCCAAAGATTTGACTGATTTCACGTAATGTTAATACTTTACCAACTGGTACACTGACTGATGCGGTGTGTGACTCGACACATTCCACGCCCATGTATGTATGCAATTCCATTAATGAGATCTCATTACACATTGTGGTAACTCAATCTTTTTTTCTTTCTTTCATTAAAGCACAGATACTTATTTTTGTTTCCCAGTGTTTGCAAGGCAACAAATAACAGCAAACCATATATCTTATCACCATTACCTTACACGAATTCTATAATTATGGATTTTTATTTAGTCTAGACAGGGAGATTAGATCTGGCAGCCCAGCAGTCTAAAGGGTTTCTTGGTTGCTTCTCAAAGACGATATCTGAACGGAAAGTGTGGATTCACCTGCAATTATCTTCTCCCTTTTGCGGTCAGTAGCTCTTGTAGCAGCAGTAAGAGATGGTGAGAAAACACATTTCCGAATCTAAACGTTAAAATAACCAGGTCATTAGACTTTAATTACAAAGTGTCATTGTGTTAAAGCTCTATCCTTTCTCTCCCCTGGCTAAAAAATGTAAAGCAACAGTTGTTCAGGTGAGATGATACATGTTGTCATTGTACAGGACTTATTTGCAGATGTGGGATCTCAAGTCTCCAAGGGGGGAATGCCGTGATCAATCAGGTTTTTTCTCTGAAGATGACCTAAAATGCAAGAACCAGCGGAGAAAAAGGAACAGGCCCCTTTTAGGATTTTAGAAGCGATTTTGACAAATTGTCTGACAGAGGAAAAAGCTCTTTTCATGTAGGAAAAAAAAATGGTGAGGTGGCAGCAACCCGTTGTGTCATTAAACAGTACATGGTGACCTGTGTACTGCACGTCCTTCATGTCCTATAGATCCCTAAGTTCCCCCCTTAGCGTCCACTCGGGTCGTCACCCCCATCTTGAGGCTCCTTTAAGGTTTGACGTCATGTATTTCATTATTTTGGGGTCATCCTCGTTCCTGGACACATTTGCAAACCTCATCGTTTTGTGATTCATGGAGTGTCCCACCCCACCCTCAGAGTTCATCCTTGGACCTGCTAAGGATCCGTGAACCCTAAATTAACAGCCTCTACTTAGCGTTAATTCCAAGACTTGTAAATTTTTAATAACCGTTAAGCTAAGTAGTATTAATTGCCCAGTGTATAAAGCACCTATATGCCTTTCTGGTCTTTCAATTAGTGTGTCATCCTGCAGTTTATAGACAGTTCTCAAGGTTTAGTGATAAATATTAATAATCAGATCACATAAACTTTAATTGACTATCCAGAGGCTAAAATGATCTGGGAGCACAAAACAACGTATTTTCTGTTGCTTTATAGGCTTTCAGGAAGTTTTATAAGTCAATATGTCTCATGAGGTCAGACATTTCATAAGACAGAAGGGGTGGGGGAGGGAGCATGTGTCTGGCTCCAATCATTCTACAAAAAGATTCTGAGTAACAGTTGCACGCCAGGCCTGGTCTTAGGAGCTTGGAATAGGGGCTGGTGAGATGGCTCAGAGTTTAAAAGCACTGGCTGCTCTTCCAGAGGTCCTGAGTTCAGTTCCCAGTAACCATGTGGTGTCTCACAACCACCTGTAATGAGATCTGGTGCCCTCTTCTGGCTTTAGGAGCTTGAAATACACAGATGAGTAAGAATTCGCCCCCAATTTCAAGGAATTCACTATCTAGAGGAGATAGGTACACAGGTTGTTGTCAGGCAGAGAGAGTTACAGTCTGCGGAATTGAGTATCACTAACAGAGGGGACTGAGGGGAGCTGCAGGCTGAATGGACAGACACCTTCCCTGAGGTGACGGTAAACCTGCCCTTCACACAGCCCTTCTCCATTCCCACACTACTGAGGCTTCTCCCCTCCAACACATCTTTCATTTCCTAGGACTCCCTAATACTAACTTGAAACTCAGCTATTTCTGGGACAGTTCAAAGGAGTCTAAGAAGCTAATGCGTACCCAAAACCAAACAAACAAACAAATACCGTGCCCCGACCCTGATAAAAAAGGCCTCAGAATACATCCAGCCATATAGTTAGACTGTTTGATGATTCTCTTTCCTGTATATTTGGAAACACAAGAACCACACTAATCACTCCAACCACAGGCCACACTTCCATATGTAGATAAGGAAATTGCCTGGTGTCCAGTAGTGTGTATGTGTGTGTGTGTGTGTGCGCGCACATGTGTGAGTGTGTGTGTGTGCGTGCGCATGTGTGTGATTAGTATAGTCATAAAGGACCAGATTATCTCTCAGAAACTTGTTCTTGTATCTATTTTCATTATTATTATTTTGTGTGTGTGTATGTGTGTGGCATGTGTAATGTGTAGGTGTGTAGTATTTCTGGTGTATATGTATTGTGTGGCATATGAGTACATGTGTGTATGTGTGTGGTATTTGTGAGGTGTGTGTATATGTGTGTATTGTGTGTGTTGTATAGTGTACATGTGTGATGTGTATATGTGTGTGGTATGTGTGATGTGTGTGCTGTATATGTATGTGGTATGTGTGATGTGTGTGTGGTGTACATGTATGTGTGATGTGTGTGTATATGTGTATATGTGTGTGTGCGTGTGTGTGTGTGCATGTGTGTGTGTGTGTATGCGTGCACACAACTTTTGGGTCAGCCTAATTCGAGAGTTCAGGTCTTTAGATCAGCCATTTCTTTCTCTGTGCCATAGTCTAGGGGCTCCTCAGTAGTTTGACTTTGATTTTGAAGTGGGTGAGTCTGACCTGTCTGTCTTCCACTCGCCCCTTTGTTCCTTTCATCTTCCCACAAGTCTGCACTTCTTACTTTTCCCTCCCTGTCTGTCATCTGCTCAGTGTCTGAACTTCTCACCTCTAGGTTGCTGTTGACGGGTAGCATTTTTCTAGATCTCCACATTTGCGATAATCTTTGTTTTCTGCCTTCCTGCGTTCTCTGACCTAGGCTCCTGGGACCCTCCACAAGACCACCTAGGTAGGTTTTTTCTTATATTTAGGAAGAAAGAGGAAGAGGTGAGTGACTGTCTCCTCTCCCTGCCTCCCCCGCTCCCGAGTCTTATTTCTTAAGGGCAGTACTCACCAAAGAATTTTAGTTATATTGATTTCCCCTAGGATCCCAAGGCAATCTTTCCCAGGAATGATTGATTTTTAAGAGGAAAATATTCAAAGTGCATGTCCTCTTTAAAATGAAAGCCGGTTGATAATATATCGTTTAATACACATATTAATTTCCAATCAGTCACGAGGCATTGAGACCAAGTGCTCAAGCTGGCAAGAGCAAGCTCACTGGTTCTTAAACAGCACAAAGTGTGGGGCTGTATCATCTGCCATCGTCCCCGCCGCTCTTCTGCGACAAACGTTCATTTTATCCCTAAGACTCCTGGATACAAAGGAAGCCATTTAAAAAGCTCTGTAACATCCCGTTGTTCACTCAGTACTGTCAAAGATTGTTTGTGTCTAAAGTAACTTGATTTGGGGATTTATAAAGTAAAATATGACTTACGTCCCTTCACTTCTTATATCTCATTGAAGCGTCGTGATTTTCAAATTTGGTTTATATCTAGAGGAAGAGATCATAGTTGTTAAAAGTGCCACATCTTTATAATCAGTATCTCCAGTTTTCTCAATCAAGGGAGGCGGAAGTAGGTTGTCATCCTCACAAAGCTGTCAAGAAGCCGACAAAGACAGACAGCAGCCTCACAAACCAGCCTGACTCAACGGTTTCCTCTTGGCAGGCAACCGTTCGTTGTGTACTTTGTGCCTTGGCTTATTAAAACCCAGACAGATGGACTCGGAGCCTGTTCGCTCACCCTTTGCTAATCCGACGCCTTTTCCTGAAGCTAGACGTCTAAACTCGTAGGAAAAGGAAGAAGTCGATTAAAATAGCAACTGGGGCAGGTGAGAGACTTCTTAGCCGACTGCCGGACCTCCAGCAACGTCAAAGAGGCCATTTCCTATGCTGGGTTTTTCAATTTTAAAAAGAATTCCCACCTACTCACAGCCTGGTTCTTTCAGGCTGCCTCCTACCTGAGAAGCTAAGCAGCAGATTAGCGAAGGGAATTTGAGGTGTTTGAATCTGACAATGTTTAGTTCCTTACTACTTGTGTGACCTTGGGTGGGTCATAGGTATCACTCCCTCAGCCTGTTTTCTTTGTCAACTTAGGTAAAGGGAAGACGGTTCAAAATGCTTATACATCACAGCATAAAGTGGGAAATCAGGGAATCCGGCCCAGAATGACTCACACTGAACAGGCCCAAGAGCCCACTGTAGCTGTCTCCCTGGCCTTGGGTTTTGCCAGTCCTTTAAAAAATATATATAATTTTATAGATTATTTGAGAATTTCACATCATGAACCCCAATCATACTCGCCCCTCTCCCCAGTTTTGCCAGTTTAGGGAATTGGAGGGTCTTGCCAGTTCTTAATAAGAATGGAAATCCATACTAGGAGCCCACAGAATGGAAATGTTATGTTATTTATATACATGCTTGAAGTTCTTTCTTTAGAAATTTGGGCCTTCTTCTCACTGTAGAACAAACATAATACTTTTTAATAGGATCAAAAAGACCAAGCTTTACTATACATAAAGATTTTATTTTATTTTTTGAGATAGTCTCACACATTCCAGGCTAGCCCTGAATCTTGCTATGCAGGTATGATGTCTAATCTTGTCAATTTGGTGGGATTGGGAATCACCTTGGAAAGCAACCTCTGAGGCTCTCTACGAGGGGCTACCTAGATTAGATTGTGGTGGGGAGGTTGGGGTGTGAGAAATATCATTCCACGGGCGGGGGCTGCATAAAAAGGCGAGAGCACGCTGTGTACCAGGATACATGCTCACTGCTTGCGGACTGTGTGTACAATGTGACCAGCCGCATCAAGTTTTTGTGGCTATGGCTATCCTCCCACCGTGAAAGACTAGACCCTCACACCGCGAGCCGGAATAAACCTGTCTTCCCTCAGTTGCTGGGTGTCTTGTTGTAGCAACAAGACCTGCAAGCAGATGTAGTCACTGAGGATGATCTTGAGCTTTTGATCCTCCTGCCTCTGCTTCTCCAAGTACCGGGACTAGAGATAGATGTGTATCCCTCTCTGTTTATGTGGTTCTGGGGACTGAACCCAACTGTTGTAGATCTTTATAACTTAGTTTGGGGTGTGGTGCAGCACCGAGCACTTGCTTAGTGTATGCCAGGACCTGGGCTCTATTCCAGTACCACAAACTAACTAGTTGATTACATATACGTAAGTATTAAATGGCTAAAAAGATAAAAGCATGTGCTTGGATTATTCTGTGTAGTGTTTTTAAATTAACATATGTGTTTCTGTGGGGTGGCGGGAGTGCACACGGCACAGCGCATTTGTGGAGATCAGAAGACAACCTCTACTTGTTGATTCTTGCCTCTCTGCCTTGTCTGAGGCTGGGTCTCTTCGCTAGCAGGCCCTAGGCCAGCAGGCGCACCAGGCTTCTGTGGCTTCTGTGGCTTCTGTGGCTTCTGTGGCTTCTGTGGCTTCTAGGGCAAGCACTTTAACCAATGAGTAGTTTCCCAATCTCTCTCTTCTTTTTTTCTCTCTCCTTTCTTCCTCCATCCTTTCCTTCTTTCTTTCTTTCTTTCTTCCTTCCTTTCCTTCCTTCTTTCCCCTCTTCTTCTTCTTCTTCATCATCATCATCATCATCATCATCATTATTATTATTAAGATCATCATCATCATCATCATCATCATCATCATCATCATTATTATTATTAAGATTCTGTAGGGAGCAGAGGAGCCCTGTGAGGGAAGTCCTGAGAGAAGGTGTGCTGTTGGCCTGGACCTGGACATGTCAAGGTCCTCAGAGCCTCTGACCCACGAAGGAATTGATAAAGCCACCCCTAAATCCCCCTGGTGAGGCTCAAAGGAAAATGGATGGCAAAGTCGTCCTCTGGTTCACATGTGGCTGTTGATAGTGCATTCAGCAAATGCCACCATAGCTTTCTCCGCTTAGATATTTACAGCCTGCTTCCCTACAGAGGCTGCTTCAGATGAGCTAAACCTGCCTCCTTGATCCAGTAAAGCCTGCCTGCTTGTCTGTCTGTACGTCATAACCCTGTCTCCTTGTCTATTTGTATATAATAACCTTGCCTCCTCTATCCAGTAAACCCCACCTCCTTGTCTGTCTGTAATAACCCCGCCTCCTTGTCTGTCTGTCTGTAGTAAACCCACCTCCTTGTCTGTCTGTCTGTAATAACCCCACCTGCAGTGGCATTTCAATTGTATTTTAATAAATAAAAACTTACCTGAGACTCAGTAAAGTAAAACAGCCACACTGGCCAGTCTTACAGACCGACAGCAATAACACACACCTTTAATCCCAGTAACCACACTATCTTAGAAAGCAGAGGGTAGTGGTGTGTATGCCCTTAATCCCAGCCCTAGAGAGCATAAGACAGGAGGAGACAGCTCTCAGGCTCACTCTCTTTCTGAGATCCCTGGAGGCAGGATCGTCCTTCTGGACTGAGGTAGAGGTAAGAGCCACTGGCTGGCTACTTTGTTTTTCTGACCTTCAGGTTGAACCTCAAATTCTCACTCTGAGTTTTTATTAATGGTGCTTCACCTGCCTCCTTGTCTGTCTGTTTGAAATAAGCCCACCCTTTTGTTCATCTGTATGCGACACCCCGTGTTTCTTTCAACTCTATATAATAGTCAATGTTTAGGACTCAGACCACTCAACTCCAGCTTTCTGCTGTGTGTCCATATGTCTGTCTGTCTGTCTGTCTGTCTTTTTCTCATTTCCTCACTGCCTCAGTCAGGTCTGTCTTCAGAGACATGCTGGGCATGGCAAGATTTATTTATTTTTATTTTATAGGTATGGGTGTTTTTACTGCATGTATATCTATGCACCATATATGAGCTGGACCCATGAGGCCACACTGGATTCTCTGGAATATATATATATTTGGATTTATAGATGGTTGTTAGCCGCTTACGGGTGCTGGGAATCAAACCTGGATTCTTTACAAGAATAAGTGCTCTTAAGCATTGAGTTATCTCCCCAGTTCCTCCTTCCCTCCCTCATTCCTTCCTTCCTTAAATTTTTTTTTCAAAAATAGAATTCATACTTTTAGTAACAATTACTGCTTACAAATTATATGAAAAAGTAATTTGTGGAGTAGAACACACTATTAGCTATATCCAGCATAAGGGAACTAGCTGACTTCTCTAGAAATCAAGAAATGCACACAAGCATATACTCTGTTTCCTATCTGAAGGCTTCCGGTTTGGAAAGGATCACGATTACTGCTGATATGCAAGCCAAAATGCTCGAAGGCAAACTTTCAATACATAGCAAGTACCTTAAATGTGTTCTAGCGCTGTAAGAGGGGTGCAGATTTAGGAACCTAGCTGTAGGAAATAAAAACGAACCTTCAAAAGAAGTTTTAGTATGGAATTGTTTAGTGTGGACATTTCCATTGTTCCTTCCAAACTCTCAGAAGATGAAAACCACTGAGGGCTGTAACTGGGAACCCTTTGGTAAACACGACATCCCCATGCAGTAATTAGTGTGCAGTTCTTTAAAATTATACATGGCTTATCATGGAATGGGGAAATGCATGTTACATAACAAGTGGAAACGCGAATCCGTTTAATATACAGTATGACCACAGCTAAGACCAAAGTCATGGTGGCACACTCCTCTAACCCCAGGCTCTGGAGGCAGAGGCAGGCAGATCTCTGTGACTTGGAGTTTCACTCGGTCTGCGGCAAGTTCCAGGCTAGCCAGGGTTACATAGCGAGACCTTGTCTCAACAACAATGTAAAAATAAAACAACTACCACGTACCAACTTAGTTAAATAAAAAAGATATTTGGGTACAAATATTTGGGGGAACATTGCACCAGGATGCTAACTGATAGTTAATTGAGGTTCTAGCAGGGGAACACAGCAGAAAAGCTAACTGAACTCTTGCAAAGTGATTGTGGGTACATTTCCCCACGATTTCTCTATATTTAAAAACTTCCATAATGAGTGTATATTATTTTACATTAAAAGGAGCAGCACCTTGTCCGTTACAACTCTGCTGCTAGTATCACACCTGCTGCAGTAAGGTGCATGGAAAAGATGCATCTGAGAATATTCCACACTACATCGCTTTACAGGGTTCTTGTGAGCACTAAGTATCATACTATTTATAACAATGGCCAGTTTATTTCTACATGTTAAGAAAATGTGAGTACATTTCTTCAGTCATGTATCAGTTCCCTGAGAGCGATTCTGACATCGTTGATTCTACCTGGAGGTAGAAAAGAAAGTCTGTCTGGTTGATTTGATACACATGCCTTGTCTGCCCTGGGAGATCTTTTCCACTGGTCTCTGTGGAGGCTCAGCCTTCCCACTGTCATTAAACAAAATATTCTCAAAATAACTGGAAGGCAACCTGGAGACAACAGCTCAGACCTCCTAAGCAGGGAGAGAGAGTCATGCTGGCTGCTTATCCAGCTGGGCCACCCTGGACAAAAGACCTTGCTTGAGAGTTGGTCTTTTGAGCAGCAAAGGGGAATAGAAGCTGGCTCGCCCATCCCTT